GTGCAATCGGTGGCTGGGTTGTTGTGCGTGTTACTCGGACGAGTCAACTCGCTCTGGGGGTCAATCGCCGTCATGTGGGTCTTCTCTGTTTTCGTTCAAGCTGCTTCTGGCCTCGTATTTGGCGTGGTCCCTTTCGTCTCCACGAGGTTTGCTTTTAAGTGTACCAATTCGGTTTTGTTAATAATTTCGGTTCGATTTTAATTTAGTTTGGTTTGCTTTATAATGACAGATCTTTAGGAGTGGTGGCGGGAATTACGGGAAGCGGCGGCACTGTAGGTGCGGTGGTGACGCAGTTTCTGTTGTTTTCCGGCGATGGTGTTCGAAAACAGAGAAGCATTTCACTCATGGGTTTGATGACTTTTGTGTTTGCTCTTTCTGTTACATCTATTTACTTTCCACAATGGGGTGGAATGTGTTGTGGGCCTTCCGAAGAAGAAGATTTATCTCGGCGACTCCTTGTAGAAGACGAAGAGGAAGACGATAAAGTGACTAGTGGTAGTCTACGTCCCGTTTGTTGATTCTGCGTTTGAACTGTTGGTCATTTGGCCTAAACAAAGGCTTTTGTGGATCGAAATGTTAATGGGACTTAAGGACGAATGTGATGTTATCAAGTCAAAGAGTCTATCAAATTCTTTTATATATGTTCTTGATTGTGTTAAAATTCTCCTTACACAGACAGAAAATTGCAAAATAAGCCAGAATTAGTTTGTATATCCTCTTTGTATCTCTTGTAACAGATCAACATGTTTATACTAATCTTAAAAGATGTTGACGTAAGAAAGAATAATTAACATCACAATGGTTTTGATGAGCTCATCTTCGGTTTCTTGCTTACTCTGTTTCTTCGGCAGTCTTCTTTTGTTAAAGAACAAAGAGCAAGATAATTAAAGTAGATCCTTCACTATTCAAAGCGTATATTATACATAGGTACGTAATACGTTTACCAAGAGTTACTATGTTGTTTTGATTTGTGATTTCATTCGTAAATTAAAGAAAAACGAATTTACATTAAAAAAAAACTTACACCATTAAGTAAACGAATAAAGCCGTTGATAAAAGATGTGGACGGTAGATAAAGAGCTCAGCAGGGGTGACCTGAGAACACATGAAACCCAGAGATGTAATAATGACGTAGCGTCATTTACAGCCGTTGATAGCTCATATGTTCTCATGTCGACCCTGTCGAGATCCACTACCTTAACGATATTTTTCTATCTTCTAACGGCCAGTAATAAAAGGTTTGGTACAATTTGAGTTTCCTTGAAAAACTGCTGATGAGAGCTATATATATACACAACAAAAATGATGAAGGATGTGTAGTACACAATATTACCAGACAGATTGTAGTACACACGGGCCAACGTAGATTGTAGTACACACGGGCCAACGTTTGTTGCATTCATATACGTTTGTTATAGACTTATAGTACAATAAAAAAAAACTACAGAATTGTGTACAGTGTACTGCAAAATTGATTTAAAAGAAAATCAACATTGTACTTCTCTGGAAGTACAACGGCGAGTTTTGTACTAGGAAATAGGAACTAGGAAGTGTTCCAAAGATGCTCTCACGTGTTTGTTTATTATTGACACATATTTATTTCACGAACCAGTTTGTGTAATTTTTGAATACTGTTTAAAAATAGTTAAAAACGAAAAAAATAAAATAATAATTGGCTGGGTAAAGAATTGGACCGGGCTCAAAATATCCGAGTGGAAGTGTTCGCTTTACGAAAAATCAGAGAGAGAGGCCCACTTCACCAGCTCTACTCATTGATTTTACACACTCTCACCTGCTTCTCTCTCTCTCTTTCTCACTCTCCAAGTCTCCTCCTCCCCTGTGAAAGCTGAAAGCTCATCTTCTTCCACGTGATTTGTCTTCCCGATCAGCTAATTGCTCTCCCTTGCGCTCGACGCCATCTTCCTTGGAGTTCGCTTCAATCAAACGGTAAATCTTCAACTGAATTTGAAGAAGATTCTTCCATGTTCGATCTGATCCGGCTCCAGATATCGAGAGTTGAATTGCCTCGAAACAGCTCGATTTTAATCAGAGACGCGCGACCGAGAGAGATAGAGAGATTCGAAGCTGCGTGGACCGTCCGATTGACTATGTAAAGTATGTTTCACGGAGGCGAATGGCGGGAAAATTGACTTGAGGCGCGATTTACTGGGTGGATCCAAAATGAAGAAGAAGGTGTCGCAGCAGAAGTTACTGTACAGATGGAAGAGGAAGGTATACGCCACGTTGATGTTCGCTTTCTGCTTGGGGACTTTCGTATTTATCCAAGCTCGTTTCGCATTTATCCAAGCTCGTTTCAATGGAATCACTGCGTCTCTCGATTCGCTGAAGAAGCCTCGTCTCGATCAGAAACCACAGATTGCCTTCCTCTTCATTGCCCGGAATCGCCTCCCTCTCGAGTTTGTCTGGGATGCATTCTTTCAGGTATACTCTTCTCCTTATCTAATTGGGTTCAGAAACAATGATTCCGGTATTTGAGGATCATATGTGAAATTTCATAGCTGCAGAAAACTGGCGAGGTATAGTGGTAGAGGTTTAGGAATCAAATAAACTGATCCCCCTGAGAATTTTTGGTCGATTTCTCAGTTGGAATATGTATTCTTAGCAATTAATCATGTGTAATAGTGACAATGCCCGCTCTTACTGATGGTTCTTTAAAGAATTGGTCAAAGCCATGTTGAAGTACTGAGCTTGGTCCATGATGATATATATGCTTTTGCAGGGTGAGGATGGCAAGTTCTCAATATATGTTCACTCTAGACCTGGATTCGTTCTCAGCGAGGCTACAACGCGATCCAAGTTCTTCTTGGATCGGCAAGTTAATGACAGTATACAGGTTGCTGATACGAGAATGTATCAATTTCTCAAATCATGGATTTTTCATTAGCAGCATTATTTTTAAAAGTCGTCTGATTCTATTGCTAATTACAGGTTGATTGGGGTGAATCGACCATGATTGAAGCAGAACGTGTATTGCTCAGACATGCACTCAGAGATCCATTTAATCACCGCTTTGTTTTTCTTTCTGATAGGTGAGATTGATTCTGTAAATACGTTTTCATGTCTGGATTGAAGTTGATCACTTTCCTAACTAAATTTCAGTTTGTTTGGTTTCTTCTCAGCTGCATACCTCTGTACAGTTTCAGCTACACGTATAACTACATCATGTCAACACCTACTAGTTTCATTGATAGGTCCGTGGCTGTTAAATACATAACTCCATACTTAACTTTGACTCAGACAATGTTTATGTTAGAATCACTAAATATTTTTCTTTCTTGCAGCTTTGCAGATACAAAAGATAGCCGTTATAATCCTAGAATGAATCCCATTATTCCTGTTCATAACTGGAAAAAGGGATCACAGGTGAAGTTCCCATCCCTTGTTGTGTAAACTGTATTTCTGAATGAATATGAATTCTGTCATTCTGAATGTGTGCAGTTTAACTGACATTTTCTCTGCTATGTTTTCTTTATCCTATTGTCTTCTCGAAGTGGGTCGTTCTGAATAGAAAACACGCAGAAATTGTGGTGAATGATACCTCCGTCTTTCCTATGTTTCAGCAGCATTGCAGGGTAAGTTGTTGAAACCTTCACTTCATTAGCAAGCTTGGGAATACTGTACTTGAATTTATGAGCTGTCCTCTCTAGTATGATACTGTAAAGAGGGAGGATATATGCTCTTTATTTTCATTCATTAATTTTCAAAATAAAGATGGTTTTGCTGCCAAGAGAGACAACTTAGAACCACTGATATTAGATTTGGGTGTTATTGTTGCTTTGTAAGTGGACTGTTCACTGTTGGCTCACTCATAAACTTTTTTTTGCATATGATCTTGCAGAGAAAATCACTTCCAGAGTTTTGGCGAGATCGTCCTGTAGTAAGTTGCTTTTCTCTGGTCATATATTTTACAACCGCACCATATTAAGTTATTAACAGTTCCTCACCCGTAAGCTCATGGCCATTCGATTCCTGCATGTTTTAGTCTGTAGAATCTGGCAGGCATTTACGGTTTGATGACCAGGATACGATGTGTTGTACTAATGCAGTCTTATTGTGTAGCCAGCTGAAGGTTGGAAGGAACACAACTGTATACCTGATGAGCACTACGTTCAGACATTGCTATCTGTAAGATTAATGTTTGATCCAACCATATGCGTTGTCGTTTAGAAATGAATGGTACAATTAATCAAATCTGGTAATGCTTCTTAAATTCTCAGCAAAAGGGTGTGGATAGCGAACTCACACGACGATCACTGACACACTCAGCTTGGGACCTTTCTTCCTCTAAAAGTAATGAACGTCGTGGATGGCATCCTATGACTTACAAGTTTTCTGATGCTACTCCTGATCTTATACAGTCCATTAAGGTACACATCCGTAAGACCAACATTTTATTTGGTAGGACTAAAACTCTCCATTACAATGTATGTAATCTTCTTCTTTTTTCTTGATATGGCTATAACCAACCCTCTTGCAAACTTAAAACAGAAATAGAATCTCTATTCTCTAACCTAACACATTTATTAACAGGGAATCGACAATATCAACTACGAGACTGAATACCGGCGAGAATGGTGTAGCAGTAAAGGGAAACCGTCGCCGTGCTTTCTCTTCGCCAGGAAGTTCACTCGTCCTGCCGCTCTCCGCCTCCTCCGTGAAGTAAACTTTTCTTTCACAATCATCGCTTAAACTAAGAAATTAACATCACAAACATTATGATAAACTCATTGTGGGTTTCTTTGCTTCCTCTGTTTCTTTGGCAGTCTATCTTGTTAGAGGACAAAGAGCAGGACAATTAAGTAGATCCATCACCATTCATAGCATATATTACACATAGGTACGTAAGATTACCAAGAGTTATTATGTTTGTACTATTTGTGATTTCATTTGTAATACAATAGATATCGAATTTACATAGAAACTTACACCATTTGGTAAATGATAAAAGCCACGGCGTTGATAAAGATGGTCGGTAGAGAAAGAGCTCAGCAGGGGTGACCTGAGAACACATGTAACAATGACGTGGCGTCATTACAGCCGTTAATTACACATGTGTCCTCATATCAACCCTGTCGAGATCCACTACCTTCAAAATATATCTTCTGTTTATTACAATTTGAGTTTCGGTTTGTCTCAAACATGCTGGAAACTATATATACACAGACAATGAAGGATTGGGTAGTACACAATAATACCACAACGATTGTGTAGTACACGGGCAAGTTTTGTTGCATTCATTTACGTTTTGTATAGTACAAGAAAAAACTTCGGACTTGTGTACTGCAGAATTGATTAAAAGAAGAAAATCATCATTGTACTTTTTATGAAAGTACAACGGCGAGTTTTGTACTAGCAATTTTTCCGGTATTAAAAGTTTTCTGTGGTCCCTCTAGTCCCTATATTCTAAATTTAGATCAAAATGACCTCACAATTACGAAATCTGGGAAAGTAATAAAAGCCCATATTATTCAATTTGGTTTAATAACTTGCTTGGAGAGTGAGGAAAAAGTAATAAAAAGCCCATATTCATTGTGACGATTGACAAAGCCTACAAAAGAGAGAGAGCGCGTGATTGTGCATATACTAGTTTTAGTCCCACATCGTAAACACACAGAGAAAGACAACAAACTCAAGTCATATATAAATATGGAGATAGCCTTCGACTATAATTCACGGAGCCGTGCGATAAGCACATAGCGAACTATTCTTTCGCCTTTTACTAAAGAATACCGTGTGCTTGTCGTACTAAGCGGCATACGCCTATTTTTGGAGGGTTGTCTCTTATTGAGTTCAACTCTATCAATCAATAGCTTGAAAATTTTCTGAATAAACCAAATTTCCTCAACGATCAATCTGTAAACCTAAAACTTCTTAGCTGTTCCATAATAAACTACTTATGAGCTGATTTACGTGAAAGTGTTAGCTTACACAAGTCCCACATCGGAAGGGTATTTGCAAAACAAAGCCGAAGTTTTGCTATATAAAGGATCACGATTTACTTAACAAAGCATACCTTTCTCGGCCTTTTGGCTAAGATCAAGTGTAGTATCTGTTCTTATCAGTTTAATATCTGATATGTGGACCATCGGTTCACACGATATTAACTCAATTTATTTAGGGAGTGAGCCATCAAAATAGCTTGCTATATGTGCTCACAATCGTCGCCCATGCGTTGCACTATTGCAAGGGCTTGGCGTATCCCACCAATCACAGTGTTAAAAAAAATTTTGGTCTAAAAAAAATGCAGTAAAATCCTGCTTTGGATGATCGTTGGAGAAGGTAAATAGCCATGGGCTCGTTAAGTTTCCAAGCCCAATGGGCTAAACCAACTCTTCTAAATGGGTGATGTTGACACGCTACAGTAGAAATTATTAATGCTGCTGACTTAGAAAAGCAACATTTGGCCGATGGAATTAATTATTTTTTTCTCCAGGAAGTTAGAAAATCATATAAAAAATCAAAGGGAGACTAAATAATTATATAATGCAATCTTTCGATCGATGAATACGGCTCTGTTCTCGGATAAGCAGATAATGGATCTCATGAACGACAACAATAATTCACAAGACGGCGATCATCATCAGAAGCACCGTGTCGGCGATAATGGATTGGAATCGAACAACGAAGCTATCTTCCCTAGCTATGATTTCCAACCTATCCGCCCTAATGCCTCCGTCGGATTGTCTCACCACGCTTTAGATCTCGCCGGATCTGTTAATTCCACTGCTGCTAGGGTTTGGGATGCGTCTGATCCTAAACCGGTTTCAGCTTCTTCCGCAAGAGTAATATATTCCTAAATTCTCATCATTCTCCTAAACCGGTCTTTATGATCAATCTCCTTCGTTTGTTGGCTTCATTAGTTTATTACGATTTTACGTTATTTGGCTTATTAGAATCGGTTCTAAGGTTTCGACTGTGTTAATTGATATATACTAATACTAGTTGTGGTTCCCTAGCTCGGCTCTGTGTTACACTGTGCTTATCTGTTTATAAATGTTTGCTATACTATAAGGTTTTGTAGAATACTACCTGATTTTTAGGTAGTATATATGATCTACAGCTGTTGTTTACTTTTATGTTTCATTTAATCTTGCTTGATGCTTGCATGGTTAGGATAATGATAATGATCACACTTAGCCTTACTTGTTGCATTTGTTCGTTCTTGCAGAGTTATGGTTCTATGGACTCTCTTGAACCTTCAAAGTTGTTTGCTGAGAAGGATCGAAATGCCCCTGAGTCAGCGATTATATCTGCGATTGATCGGACAATGAAGGCACATGCTGATAAATTGTTACATGTTATGGAAGGTGTCAGTGCACGTCTAACGCAGCTGGAGACCAGAACCCGAAATCTCGAGAACCTGGTTGATGATGTCAAAGTTTCTGTTGGGAACAGTCATGGAAAAACTGATGGGAAGTTGAGACAGCTTGAAAACATCATGTTAGAGGTAATTTAACTCTTTTTGGGTACCTAATGGAGATCAATTTGAAATCAGATATAATCACATGAATCTGAGATATTAGACAAACGTTCTGTTCTGCCTTTTGGATGCCAATTCTAGCCTGGCCTGGGAATTATTTATCTGTTAACTTCAAAGAAGTTTCTGGTTTTCATAATTTTCAATTTTCAATATATTTAAGGCATCGGGGCTTTCATACTTTTTCAATATATCATCTATCAAGCTTCTAGATTCCTCAGTACCTTCTTTGTATGATTGAATTCAGGTGCAGAGTGGTGTACAGTTGTTGAAGGACAAACAAGAAATAGTTGAAGCGCAGCTTCAGCTTTCAAAGCTCCAGTTTTCAAAGGTAAACCAGCAGCCCGAGACACACTCTACACATGTTGAACCCACTGCTCAGCCTCCCGCATCACTGCCTCAGCCACCAGCTTCTGCTGCAGCTCCCCCGTCTCTTACTCAGCAGGGACTCCCGCCACAACAATTTATCCAACCGCCCGCCTCACAGCACAGTCTCCCGCCACCTTCATCTCAACTGTCTCAGCTTCCTAGCCAGTTCTCTCCCCAGCAAGATCCTTATTTCCCTCCACCTGGTCAGTCCCAGCCACCTCCAACAAACCAGCCTCCTTATCAACCTCCTCCTCCAACCCAGTCACTGCATCAACCACCTTACCAGTCACCTCCTCAACAGCCACAATACCCGCAACAGCCACCTCCTCAGCTCCAACACCCGTCAGGCTACAACCCGGAGGAACCACCTTACCCTCAGCAATCTTACCCGCCAAACCCTCCCCGTCAACCACCTTCTCATCCACCTCCTGGTTCCGCCCCATCTCAACAGTACTACAACGGTCCTCCAACACCACCATCAATGTACGATGGATCAGGCGGCAGATCCAATTCAGGTTTCCCTTCCGGGTATTCCCCTGAACCGTACCCGTATACTGGGCCACCTTCCTCACAGTATGGAAACACCCCACCTGTGAAACCGCCACATCAGAGTGGAAGTGCACCTGGTGCGTACCCACAGCTCCCAATGGCACGGCCACTACCACAAGGTTTACCAATGGCATCAGCCATCAGCAGCGGTGGAAGTGGCGGCTCCGGTTCCCCAAGAGCAGGAAACAGAGCCCCAGTGGATGATGTCATTGACAAAGTGGTTAGCATGGGGTTCCCAAGGGACCAAGTGAGAGGAACAGTGAGAACATTGACAGAGAACGGTCAAGCTGTTGACCTCAATGTTGTTTTAGATAAGCTGATGAATGGAGATAGAGGAGGTATGATGCAGCAGCAGCAGCAACCGCCAAGAGGTTGGTTTGGTGGTCGTTAGCTGTGTCTCTGATTCCGGTTTCGCTGACATTGTATAGTCTTTATTTTCTCATGTCAGATTTTCCTCGAACATATCTTTGACCTTGGTGTTTCATTTGTGACTTGAATATTTTTTCAAAGCTTTCCCTGTGTTTGAAACCTGAAGCTTGAGTTGAGTCATTTATTATTCTTGCGTGTTTCATTCATTTGCGCATTTGACTCTGTGGAAATCACAGACCAAGTGTTACAAAGTCGCTGTCTACAGGCACTCTCTTTCCTAAGAAAAAACGACATGTAGTTTTTACCGGCTAAAACTGAACGACAAGGTGTTTCTTCTTTTATTTTCCACTTGTACGGCGTCGTTCTAATACAAAACGATGACGTTTAGGAACCCGCGAAACCCACTAAACTTTTTTTAGTTCTCTCTCGTTCCCTTGCCTCTCTCTCTCTCAGATTTTCTCTTGCTTCACTGTTAATCCAGCTTGACGATGTCGTTGACGGAGCTAGACGACGGACTGGTGCGTAGGATGGCCATCGGCGCAGTCTTCTCTGATTTCGTACGAACGGATTTTTCTCTTTTGTAATCTCATTTGATTTCGGATTAAACTTTGGTAGAATCCAGCTTCCGAGATTATTTCGTTCAATTTCTCGTTGTTGGATTTACAGGGAGGGAAGATACATTCGGTGGGTTTCCATAGGACTGATGATCTATTGGTTACATCCAGCGAAGATGATTCACTTCGTCTCTTCGATATCGCCAACGCTAAGTCAGTTCTTCCTCCCTTTTTAGGTTTTTCTTTTTTTCTACTTAGCCCATCAGTTCTACAGAAACTAGTTGAATTTCTGTGGAGAAAAAAGGAAACTGAAATTCAAATTGTATCGATGTTTGTTGAAATGTAGACAGCTCAAGATTACATACCATAAGAAACATGGCACCGATCGTGTATGCTTTACCCATCATCCCAGCTCTCTAATTTGCTCTTCTCGATACAATTTGGAGTCCACTGGTGGTGAGTCTTTCTTTGTTTTCTTGCTTGAGATTGGATAATCAAAGAATTGGTGGATCTTCACTTACTTGAAAGCTTGTTCTTGTGTACCAGAATCCTTGAGATATCTCTCAATGTATGATAATCGGATCCTTCGCTACTTTAAAGGGCATAAAGACAGGTCTGCTATATAACCTCTGGAATTGGGATTTGGATTATACTAGTATGTATGTATTACATTGATGATGGAAATTGTTCTTCTGTTTCAGGGTTGTATCGCTTTGTATGTCTCCTATTAATGATAGCTTCATGTCTGGTTCTCTCGACCGAAG